AAAGCTCCTTGTAGCTTTTGCAGCTACAATCCTTCTGACTTAAACACAATTCAAAACCCAATTCAAACTTTGGTTTCTCTTTCTGTTTCTTTTCAACATTCTGCTGTGAGGCCTCTGTTAATTTTCAAACATCTGCCATCTGTTTGAGTATAATGTACTTCCAGAACTGAAACATCTGAAGGGTTCTTTGAACAAGAATCAAATTGCAATTAACTTCCAGGTCTGGCCTCAAAAGCAAATATCAGCTTATTTTTGTTTTAAAGGAAATATGCTCTTAAATCTAAAGGTTACTTTCCCCTCTCAGCTCCTAGTTCTTAGCTCTGAACCAAAAATGATAATTAATAAAATAATGAGAAATCCAGGAAGGTTCTATGACCAGGTATGAAGTAAATTTTGTTGTTGGTTTTTCCACAAGCTCCTGGCACCTGTTCATTTGTTCAAGCATTTATTGCTGCTGACTGTCTGTCTGTATGAGTAGTTCTTAAAATTGTGAAATCTTTAAAGCTGTAAACTCATTTGGTAGTCCAGAAATTTATTATCTCGTGGGTCCAGTGGATTTCTTCACCATTGAACATTCTGTTCCTAAGCAATGAAACCCAGCACAGCCCACCATGCAGTATTTATGGGTCGAAGGACATTTACCACCACTTGAGAGAGATAATAGGAACTGCAGATGCTGGAAAATCTGAGATAACAAGGTGTAGAGCTGGATGAACACTGCAGGCCAAGCAGCATCATAGGAGCAGAAAGGCTGACGTTTCGGGCCTGCTTTTCCTTGATTGTGTCTCAGGGACTGTTTGGTTTCCAGTGATAGGAGCAACCACTAGTGAGTCTTAACATGATGTAGCTTATTACATGGTAGCAATTATGTAGAAGTTACCTTAGTTAGGCATTGTTACTAAGACTGCTGGAAGACAGATGACGCGTGTCTCATTCCAGATCCAGAGCTATTTTCTCAGTTCAGCAGTTTCCAACGCTAACCCTTTTAGAATTAAAAAGTGGAACCTTACATAACAATTTTCACATTTTGAATCTAATGCTAAGCTGCTGCTTGACTGGATCTTTTCAATTCCACAGGCCAGTTTCTCTAGATAAACCTCAAGTGCAGTGAGCAGTTCAGATCTCGGGTAATAAATTTATAAGACCAATTGATGATTACAACAGGGGGACAGATCTAGATCAAAGGGAATATGTTAAAAATTCAGGATTTTTCTTATGGAACTTATTTTAAATATCAGTCTATAACATAAATGCATTTAGGCAGAGGCTAGGTTAACCTTCCTATAGAGGGAGAAAAATACAAGTTCAAGTTGATAGGGTTACGTGTGTGTTGGAATGGGAGGTTGACTTGTATGGAACATAGCACCAGCATAGGCCAATTGGCTTCATTCTGTGTCTTAGGCACTAATAACTTGGTGTTCTCTCTTGGAGAGAAATTAGGATTCAATTAGGCCCCTTCGGAGAAATCCAGACATAGGGTTCTTGAACATTACATGTGGGAAACTTGTAAAAAGAAAAGTAGTGATGGGTAGAGATTTGTGTCAGGATTCAGGGTGGGTAGAAAGAGCTCATAGGGGAAGGGATAGATGGTAATTGTAATTCAGGTGGTTGGAGATAATGGTGTGACAGGACTGGGATTCATTCTTGGGTGGGGTTGGCACAGATAGTAGTACAGACGAGTCGACGCTCCAGCAAAGCAGCACTCCTGCAATATTGCACTAGGGGTGCTAATTTTCAGATGAGTATTTAAATCTAAGCGCATGGAGTTATCTTCTGATTAAAGCCATGGGGGATCTGCCAGTTGTGTATGTCACTTTTATACCTCATGCAACATCTCTGCGTTATCTCTTGGTTTGTTGGACCTTGTTGTATGCCCATTTGCTGCCACATTTCCTACTATAGAACAGTGACTACGCTTTTCAAAAGTACTGTTGGCTATACAGCTTTGAGATATCCAATGACTGTCAATGGGGCCATACGAATGCAAGTCTTTTTATCTGTTCTTCAATTAATAGGTTTTGGAAAAAAGACTAATTTTTCACTGACAAATGTTTTGCATTGGCAAGCACACTGCATATTTTATTTATCATAACTTTGGGTTCCTCATACTAGACTGGTTAGCAAAGTTAGATCGCATGGAATACAGGGAAAAGTAGCCATTTGGATACAGAGCTGGCTTGAAGGTAGAAGGCGGAGGGTGTTGGTAGAAGGTTGCTTTTCAAACTGGAGGCCTGTGACCATCAGTGTGCCACAGAATTGGCGCTGGGTCCACTGCTTTTTGTCATTTATATAAATGATTTGGATGTGAATATAGGAGGTATCATTATTAAGTTTGCAGATGACACCAAATTGGAGGTATATTGGATAGCAAAGAAAGTTACCTCTGAGTACGGCAGGATCTTAATCAGATGGGCTAATGGGCCGAGGAGTGGCAGATGGAGTTTAATTTAGATAAATGTGAAGTGCTGCATTTTGGAAAGGCCAATCAGGGCAGGACCTATAGATTTAACGGTAAGGTCCAAGGGAGTGTTGCTGAACAAAGAGACCTTTGGACTGCAGGTTCGTAGTTCCTTGAAAGTAGAGTCACAGGTGGATAGGATAATGAAGAAGGCATTTGATGTGGTATCTTTATTGGTCAGTGCATTGAGTATAGGAGTTGGGAGGTTATGCTGTTGCTGTACAGGACATTGGTTAGGTCGCTTTTGGAACTGCATGCAATTCTGGTCTCCCTGCTATAGGAAGGATGTTGTGAAACTTGAAAAGGTTCAGAAAAGATTTACAAGGATGTCGCTAGGGTTGGAGGGTTTGATCTATAGGGAGAATCATAGAGTCATAAAGGCATACAGAATAGAAACTGACCCTTCAGTCCAACTTGTCCGTGCTGACCAGATAGTTCAGGTAAATCTTGTCCCATTTGCCAGTATTTGGCCCACATCCCTCTAAACCCTTCCTATTTATATACCCATCCAGATACCTTTTAAATATTGTAATTGTACCAGCCTCCACCACTTCCTCTGGCAGCGCATTCCAGTCATGTGCCACCCTTGCATGAAAAAGTTGCCCCTTAGGTCCATTTTAAATCTCTCCCCTTTCACCTTAAACCTATGCCCTTTAGTTCTTGACTCCCCCACCCCAGGGAAAAGACCTTGTCTATTTATCCTATCCAGGCCCCTCATAATTTTACAAAACCTCTATAAGGTCACTCCTCAACCTCTGATTGTCCCGGGAAAATAGCGCCAGCCTATTCACCCTCTCGCTATAGCTCAAACCCTTGAACCCTGGCAACATCCTTGTAAATCTTTTCTGAACCCTTTCAAGTTTCACAACATCCTCCCTATAGCAGGGAGACCAAAAGTGGCCTAACCAATGTCCTGTACAGACTCAACGTGACCTCCCAGCTCCCATACTCAATGCACTGACCAATAAAGGCAAGCACACCAAATGCTGCCTTCACTATCCTTCACATGACTCCACTTTCAAGGAACAATGAACCTGCACTCGAAGGTCTCTTTGTTCGGCACCACTCCCCAGGACTGTACCATTAAGTGTATGAGTCCAGCCCTGATTTGCCTTTCCAAAATACAGTACCTCACATTTACATAAATTAAACTCTATCTGCCACTCCTCGGCCCATCTGATCAATATCCGGTTGTATTCAGAGGTTAACTTCTTTACTGTCCACTCCACCTCCAATTTTAGTATCATCTGCAAACTTACTAACCATACCTCCTATGTTCATTTAAATCATTTAAATAAATAACAAAAAGCAGTGGATCCAGCACCGATCCTTGTGGCGCACTAGTGGTCACAGGCCTCCAGTCTGAAAACAACCCTCCACCACCCTCTGTCTTCTACTTTCGAAACAGTTCTGCAGCCACATGGCTAGTTCTCCCTGTATTCCACGTGATCTGACCTTGTTCATCAGTCTACCCTGAGGAACCTTACTGAACGCCTTGCTGAAGTCCATATACATCGTGTCCACCGCTCTGCCCTCATCAATCCTCTTCATTACCTCTTCAAAAAACTGAATAGGCTGGGGCTATTTTCCTTGGACAGTCGGAAACTGAGGAGTGACCTTATTAGAAGTTTGTAAAATTGAGAGGCATGAATAGGGTAAATAGATACGGTCTTTTCCTTGGGGTAGGCGAGTCTAATACCAGAGGGCATAGGTTTAAGGTGAGAGGGGAAAGATTCAAAAAGGACCTAAGGGGCACCTTTTTCACGCAGAGGGCGAAGTGTGTATGGAATGAGCTGCCAGAGGAAGTGGTGGAGGCTGGTACAATTACAACATTTAAAAAGGCATCTGGATGGGTATGTGAATACGAAGGGGTTAGAGGAATATCGGCCAAATGCTGGAAAATGGGACTAGATTTATTTAGAATATCTGGTCGGCATGGATGAGCTGGACCAAAGTGTCTGTTTCCGTGCTATACGTCTCTATGACTCTATTGACAATAGGTTTTGGATAATGTTTTCTATCAATATTTTTTCTGTTTTCCTCCAATTTAACTTCTTGACCTTAGTGTTGTAATTAAATTTTATCACTACTGTAACCAACAGGGCAGTAGAAATCAGTCTTTCTTTATTGTTGCTAATGTCATAAAAGAAATCTATTAAAACTTGCCAAGCTTGCAATATGGGACTTGTTCCTTATTAAGTGATCCCTGGGTATATGGTATCTAATGTATATTGAGCTTCTGTATTTGGATTTTGAAATGCCTTTGCATTCATTCATTTTCCATATAATTATGCATTTTAATCATCAACATTCATTGATCATTCTTCATGAGGCTGCCAGAAGTAATCATTCTCTTTCAAAATGGAATACCACTGAATTCAAAAAAACTGCAAAACAAGTTAGAAACCATTCAAACCCAAGGGGAGTATTTAAGAATTTCACTTCAGAAGTTGGACACTGCTGCATTGTGATATAGATGTGTAATTATTCTGAAATAAAAACACTGTGGGCTTCTGACAATTGTAATCTTTTATTTTCGAAGGTCACCTTCCATATTGAGCCGTATGAAGGGAGAGAAAACACTTTATATAGTAATTTGAAGTACATCATTGACAAGTGAGTTTTTTTGATCAGTTTTTATGAACTGTTAATGCTGATTACAGTAAATTTTTATGAACTGTTAGTGCTGATTACAGTAATTTTTCACACCTTGTCTCACCCTTAAAAATATGTACAATGAATATGATTTACAGAACATAAAACACAGCCTGACGATATTGTAAATCAAATGAAAAGGCACAGTTTTCCATTTTAATTTGTAGTGAAGATATCTTGACATTGTAAAATAAATCAATACAATACAGCACAGGAACAGGCCCTTCAGTCCACCAAGCCTGCGCCGAATCCTAATGCTTGTTTAGACCCACTACTTATTGCCCATATGTGGTTTGTATCCCTCTGTTCGCCCCCTGTTCATATGTCTATTAAGATATGCCTTAAATGTTGCTAACATGCCTGCTTCCACCGTCCACTGGCAGTGCATTCCAGGCACCCACCACCCTCTTTGTGAAAAATGTTCCCCGCATTTCTCCCCTAAACTTTCTGCCTCCCACTTTGAATTTCAATATTGTGTATTGGAATGTGAGAAATACCTAGGCAAAAAGTAGTCACTTACAAAGGCACTTTTAAATACCAAACTATCCATTCCTCCATTCACCACAATGCCTCTGCAGCTTTTGCTCATTCAGTCATTGCCTTACCTCTATTTTTAGTGTTCTTGTCTCCAGTAAAATATTAATTGTCTCACATCCATGAGTATTTCTCCTTTGCCTGGCTCCTTTTTACAAACCCACAATTCCAAGGCATTTTGCAGACTTGTGTAATTGACATACAGATGCTTGCTATCAATCAGATAAGCTTGAGCTATTATCCCTCCATCTTCTGATCTGGCTGGAATATGTATGATACTATCTGGCCTCCCTGTCCTCTGCCAAAACTCTGCAATAGTGTAGCATCTTACAACAGAGTTAAGATATATTATGATTCATTTTTCTCTACAAAATGGCTCTTTTAACCTCTCTTTGCTCCCTTTTCCATATTCACCTCCAACAAAATTTTGGATAAGTTCAGAGTTTGTCATAACTATTTCCTTCTTTCCCACCAAGTCAAACCTCCCTCCAGTATAAAAAACATAAGAACTGTGGATGCTTAAATCAGAAACAAAAACCAAAGTTGCTGGAAAAGCTCAGCAGATCAGGTGGGATCTGTGAAGAGAAATCAGAGTTAACGTTTTGTGTCCAGTGACCCTTCCTCGGAACAGTTCTGAGGAAGGGTCACTGGACCCAAAACATTAATTCTGGCATTTTCTTCACAGATGCTGCCAGACCTGCTGAGCTTTTCCAGTAACTTATGGTTTTGCTCCATCAAGTCTGTCCTCTTGCCATTTTGAAAGCCGTCTTGTTCATGTGACTCGGTCTCTTGCCACCTTGAATCCATTCTCATTAAACTATTACTGTTTACCAATGAGCCCATTCTTATGAAAGTACAAAGAAAAGGGATCCAGAAAAAGATATCAATTAACCCTGCCCATTTCACTCAGTGACAGCTTCAAGATCTTTAAAACTATCCCACTCCATACAGACTGCTTCTCCTACAGTCACCACCCGGATTCTCTCCATTTTTTTCCTTCTGTGCAAACTTCCAAGGTCTGTGTGCAGCATCGACATTCAGAACTTGAACTCGGTGCTGCGATCTGTTGAGAGAATTTAATCAATATCAATATTAAAATAAAAATCAAGTACGTCAATTTAGGCAAAGTTGTAGGAAATTCCTCTCGATTCTTGCAGGTAACCAAGCAATTTTGTGTCTGATGGGAACTTTACTGGAAGTACTAGTGTGCTAACAGCTATACTTCTAGTTTCCAAAATGAAGTCTAACCAAAGCATTCAGTTTGGTTTTCTTGTAATTCTAAAAGTAGAATTGTGATCTGCAATATGGTATTCAAATCTTGAGTCATTATTTGATTTGACATGTTCTGTGCCTGAACTTAATTTCATAGTTTGTATGAAGCTTAAAAATATCAATAAAGTTCATGAATTATACCAGTTAGAATACAGATGAATTATTTGGCTAATCACCCTGTGAAGGAGCTGGAGCTGTCTGTCTAAGTCAATATTCCTACTTTTTCCTTGTACTGTCAATGCTAATATTTTTACTTGTATTTGTTTCAATTTGTCACTTATGGTGATGCATTCTATAATGATACGAGCCTTTAAATCATTTCTTTTAACCTTTTCCTTTTGTTTTCCTGGTGAAAAATTTAGACTTCCTTATGTTCTGATATCTAATAAATGACACATTCAAAATATATTTTGAGCACCAAGTGTGATTAGGATAAAACTTCGTTTACCATTTGCATTGATTTCTAATTGAGCAATATAACATTAAAATAATATAAATACCTGTGTAACTTTTGATCATAATGTTGATAGTCAAAATAGCTAATCAGTACTTTTGAGACTGCTATTTAAAAGAATTATCTTTCTAAACTTGTCGTGCAATATGTAGTGCCAGTTATTTAGCTTCCACAACCAGAAATTTTCTGTATTAATGCATATTGGGCAATTGTTTTATAAGCAAAGTATTTTTTAAAAAGCCTCTTCCTGCAAAATTGCCTGTTACGAATGTAAAATACAAGATTTTCTACTTTTTGTTTTTTTTTAAAATCACCTCAACAATTGTATTACTGTAGATTCAGTCTGTCACTTTTCATTACTGAATCTGGAAGATTAACATTGGTGAGGTGTTTAACTACCGCAGGTGTTCAAGGGCACATAAAACTGCATAATTTGCACTGGCATTCTATCCAGGCATGCATATTTTCATTAGAGCTTGCCTTTTTTCTAATGGCAAACATGTCCGTACTTGTCCTTTTTCCAGCCCACTCCCATCCCCAGCTATAATACAGCAGCCTGATTAGAGCAGCTGTTTTAGAATAAACTCCGAGTATGTCACTGTCCTTGATTTCACTTGTAATTTGTTAGTGAATGATTTGTTTTTTGTTATTCGATCATAGGATGTGGAAGTTGCTGGCTGACCAGCTTTCATTGTCCATCCTTAGTTACCCTTGAGATGGTGATGTTGAACCATCTTCTTGAGTCACTGCAGCCCATGTACTTTAGTTTGACCCACAATGCCCTGGGGGAAGGAATTCCAGGATTTTAACCCAGTGACAGTGAAAGAACAGTAATATATTTCCAAGTCAAAATGGTGAGTGCTTGGAGGGGAAATTGCAGGTGATGGTGTTTCCATATATCCGCTGCCTTTGTCCCTCTAGATGGAAGTGGTCATGGGTTTTGAAGGTGCTGTCAAAAGATGATGAATTTTTGCACTGCATCTTGTAGAGAGTACACACTGCTGCTACAGAGTGACAGTGGTGGAGGGAGTAGGTGCTTGTGATTGTGGTGAAAATGAAGCTGGCTACTTTGTCCTGGATGGTGTCAAGCTTCTTGAGTGTTTTTGGTGCTGCACTCATGGGCAAGTGGAGAGTATTTCATCAGACTCTTGACTTGAGCCTTGTAGATGGCTTTGTGGAGTAAGGAGATGAGTTACTTGCTGCAATTTGCCTAGCCTCTGACCTGCTGTTGTATCCTCTGTATTTATACAGTGAGTCTAGTTAAGCTTCTGATTAATGGTAACCCCTAGGATGTTGATAATGTTTGATTCAGTGATAGTAATTTCACTGAATGCCAAGAGGCAGTGGTTAGATCGTCTCTTATCGAAGATGGTTGTTGCCTTGCGTTTGTGCAGAGCAAATGTCACTTGATTTTTCAGCCCAGATCTTGTTGCATTTGAACGTGGACTGCTTCAGTATCTGATGACTCACAAATGGTGCTGAACATTGTGCAGTTATTAGCGAACATCCCAACTTCTGACCTTATGATGGAGGAAAGGTCATTGATGAAGCAATTGCAGATGGTTGGGCGGAGGAAACTACCCTGAGGAGCTCTCACAGAGATGTCCTGGAGCTGAGATGACTAATCGTGTGCAACTTCAACCATCCTACTATGCGCCAGGTATGACTCCAACTAATGGAGAGCTTGACCCTTGATTTCAATTGATTTCAGTTTTGCTAGGGCTCCTTGAGGCCACGTTGTGTCTACTGCGGTCTTGAAGTCAAGGGCTGTCCCTCCCATCTCACCTCTGGAATTCAGCGCCTTTGTCCGAATTTGCACCAAGGCAGTAATGAAGTCAGGAGCTGAGGCACCCTGGTGGAACCCAAACTGGGCATCAGTGAGCAGTTTGATGACACCTTCCATTGCTTTACTGATGGTTGAGAGTAGACTGATGGGGAGTTTGGATTAGTTCTGCTTTTTGTGTATAGGACATACCTGGGCAATTTTTCATATTGTTGGGTAGATGCTAGTGTTCCAGCTGCATTTCAACAGCTTGGCTAGGGGAGTGGCAAGTTCTGGAGAACACATCTTCAGTACTATTGATGGATTAGCGCCCTTAGCCTTTGAATTGCCCAGTGACTCCAACTGTTTCTTGATATCACGCGGTGTGAATTAAATTTGCTGAAGACTTGTATCTGTGATCTGGGGAGGGACCACTGGAGGAGGCTGAGATGGATCATCTACTTGACAATTCTGGTGAGGATTTTTGAGTGCTTCAGCCTTATCTTTTGCACTGATGTGTTCAGGTGTTCCATCATTGATGATGAGGATATTTTTGGAGCCATCTCCTCCATTGAGTTGTTTAATTATCCACCACTACTGGATGTGGCAGGACTGCAGAGCTTAGATCTGATCTGTTGGTTATGGGATTGCTTAGCTCTGCCTGTCACTTGCTGTTTATATTATTTAGTGTGCAAGTATTCCTATTTGGTATCTTCACCAGGTTGACACCTCATTTTTAGGTATGGTTTGTTTCTGGCATGTCTTCCTGTCCTCTCAATTGAACCAGGGTTGGAGAACAATTCTGCTGCTGTTTATGGCCCACAATACCTCATGGGTGCCCAGGCTTGAGTTGGTAGATCTGTTTAAATTCTGTCCTATTTTGCATGGCAATAGTGCCACACAACACGATAGAGTGGATTCTCGATGTGAAGGTGGGACTTCGTCTCCGCAAGGACTGTGCAATGATCACTCTTATTGATACTGTCATGGCTGGATGCATCTGCAGCTGGCAGATTGGTAAGTTTGAGGTGAAGTTTGTATTCCCTCTTACTGGTCCCTTACCACCTGCCGTAGCCCCAGCCTAACAGCTATGTCCTTGAGGACCCAAGCAGCTCAAGCAGAAGTGCTGCTGCTAAACCACTCCTGGTGGTGAACAATTGAAATAACTGCACAAAGGCCGGTATCCAGTTACCAACTTATCCTTTATTTATTTGTGCACAGTACACTGGCTGTGGCCAGCCAGCTCGGAGTCAGTCGCCTGGACTGAGGACATTCTAATCTCCTGGTTGTATTGGTTAGCCAAGGCTTTTGTGATTGGCTCAGGTTAACAACCCCAATCAGCAACCTCGTAGTCAACGAGGACAACCTGGTTCCAATCACTACAATATTGCAATCCCCCGGCTAGCGTGCATTTTGCACTCTTGCCATCTCGGTCCTTCCTCCAAGTGTTGCTCATCATAGAGGAGCGCTGATTCATCATCCAAGGGAAGATTGTTTGTGGTCATCAGCAGAAGATTTCCTTACCCATGTTTAACCTGAAGCCACGTGACTTCATGGGATCTGAGTCAATGTCATGGATTCCAGGGCAACTGCCTCCTGACTGTATACCGCTGTGCTGCCACCTCTACTGGGCTTGTCCTGCTGGTGCAACAGGACATATCCAGGGATGGTGATGGTGGTGTCTGGGACTTACTCATGCAGATGGAATCATATCTTACAGACATTGTCAGGCTGTTGCTTGACTTGTCTGTAAGACAGCTTTCCCGGTTTTGGCACGAGCCCCTGGATGTAAGTTGGGAGGACTTTGCAGCTTTGACCTGGCTATTTTTGCCATTGTTGCGGCTGCTTTGGGCCAATGCCAGGTAGTTTGTACAGTTCCATTTCTTTCTTGAGACTTTGTAGGAATTGATACAACTGAATGCGTTGCTAGCCTATTTCAGAGGCAGTTAAGAGTCAATCACATTGCCACGGGTCTGGAGTTGGATGTAGGCCACATCGTGTGAGGATGGCAGATTTCCTTCCCTGAAGGACATTAGTGAGCCAGGTGGGTTTTTCTGATGGTCAATAATGGTTTCATTCTCATCAGAAGATTCTTAATTATAGTTATTTTATTGAATTCAAATTCTACCGTCTGTTGTGGCGGGATTCAAACTCAGGTCCCCAGAACACTAGCTGAGTTCCTGGATTAGTAGTATCGGCCATTGCCTCCCTTTTGCTATTTCTGTTTTACTCCTGCAAACTAACTTCAATTTCTTCAGAATAATGCGCAAAAAAGGTAATTTGATCTATCATGCTGCCACTGATGTGAAAGACTGTCTACTTAGTCCTATTCCCCTATCTTTCACTCCTTTTAAGTGGTTATCCTGTTCCATTTGAAAATTATTCATAAATTCTCCTTCTACAATCCTTTGTCTGTACATTCTTGATTAAAATCACTTGTTGCTTTTCAAAGAAAAGGCTTGATTTTCTTTTGGATCTTTTGCCTCCCTTTAAAATTACACTGTTTAATTACAAATGTGGAGTATGGCATTTTGGTAAAACCAACAAGGGCAGGACTTGAAACAAAAGGGGTGGAAGCTCAGCAGGGCTGGCAGCATCTGTGAAGAAAAAAATCAGTTAATGTTTCGGGTCTGGTGACCTTTCTCAGGTTCTTGGCATACAGGTTTTGAGGAAGGGTCACCGGACCCGAAACGTTAACTCTGATTTTTTTTTTCTTCACAGATCCTGCCAGACCTGCTGAGCTTCCAGCAACTTCTGTTTTTGTTCCAGATTTACAGCATCCACAGTTCTTTCCATTTTTAATGGCAAGACTTATATGATAGGGCTCTGGGTAAAATTCTTTGAAATTTGTGTCACAAGTAGACAGGATTTGTTAAGAAGGTATTTCGCACGCTTGCCATCACTGCTCAGACCTTTGAATGTAAAAGTTGGAACGTCATGTTAAGGTTGCACAGGACGCTGGTGAGGCCTTTTCTGGAGTATTGTGTACAACTGTGGTCGCCCAGCTGTAGGAAACGTATTATTAAATTGGAGAGACTTCAGAAAAGATTTACCGCAATGTTGCTGGGAATAGAAGGTTTGAGATATAAAGATAGGCTGTAACTTTGTTCCCTGGAGCATAAGAGGTTGAGGGTTCACCTTAAAATCATGGGCGTCGATAAGATGAACAGCAAGGATCTTTTCTCTAGGGTGGGGAGTTTAAAACTAGGAGGCTTATTTTTAAGGTGAGTGGAGAAAGATTTGAAAAGGACTTGGGGCAATGTTGTTTTTTTTTCTCCCGAGAATTTTTTTTAATAAATGGAATGAACTGCCAGAGGAAGTGGTGAGTGTAGGTACAGTTGAAACATTTTGAAGACTTATCATGGTTAAGTACATGAATAGGAACAGTTTGGAGGGATATTGACCAAATGCAGGCAAGTGGAGCTAGTTTGGTTTGGAAACACAGTCAGCGTGGACTAGTTGGACCAAAGGGTCTCTTTCCATGTTAAATGACTCCATACTATTATCTTTTCATTCTTAGCAAATAGCGTTCTTAGCATTTTTCAATTCTATGCATTAAGTTGTATCTGTGCCTGTCTAGTATATCTCTGTCACCCAGACGTCTATTACTCTTTACCTTACTGACTACATTTCAGTTTTACATTTTTGGCAAACTGTGATATTATGTCCAACATACCTCAGTCCAGGTCATTGGCGTTTATGAAAAAGAGCAGTGCTTCCAACATAGGTCACAGTTTGTATTTCCCCTCACCCTGTTTTGAAAAAGTGAGCAATCATTACTTTCTGTTTACTGCCTTTAGCCCATTTCACATCCACACTGCCGTCGACTGCCCACAAATCCCAATGCTTTGTTTGCAGGATTAGAGCTTGTTAATGAATGTTGCAAAGTTAAATTCAGTGCTTGCATTACAAATGGACAGCATTTACTGGATTGTAATGTTGAAATTGAATGCTATATTTGTGGTCAAATCATGTGAATAATACTGATTTTTTTTTTCCTTCTGTGTAGATACGGATCCCATCCTGCATTTTATAGGTACAAGACTAGCGCCGGAAGAAATCTTCCAATGTTCTACATTTATGACTCATACTTAATAAGCCCAGGATCTTGGGCCAATCTTCTCTCGGTATCTGGATCTCACAGTCTTCGAAACACTCAATATGATGCACTATTCATTGCCCTAATTGTAGAAGAAAAGCATAAAAGTGAAATTCTTCAGGCTGGTTTTGATGGAATGTACACGTACTTTGCAACAAATGGATTCTCCCATGGCTCTTCCCACCACAACTGGCAAGCAATAAAAGATTTCTGTGACAGTAATAACCTTATGTTTATCCCGAGTGTAGGACCAGGCTATATAGACACTAGCATAAGGGCTTGGAACAATCACAATACTAGGAACCGAGTCAATGGCAAGTATTATGAGACTGCTTTAAGTGCTGCCCTCCTAGTGCGTCCAGAAATAATCACTATAACTTCCTTTAATGAATGGCATGAAGGGACTCAGATTGAAAAAGCTGTTCCCAAAAAGTCCAGTCAGTTAGTTTATCTGGACTATCTGCCTCACAAGCCAGACATCTACCTAGAGCTGACTCGTAAATGGGCAGAAAAGTTTCACAGGGAGAAAGAACAATGGTTGATGTGACATCTTTGTGTCTTGAGAATGGGAATAGAGTAATTTTGAGGTCTAGCATCAAATATTACAAAGAATTTTGTTTTAGAGTGGGTTAACTCTGGAGGAAATTTAAGTTGTTTTTGGGTCATTCGGATCATCTTATAATGAAGTCCTGTGAAATTGTTGATTGAAAGAAATGAGTTATTATGTTTGGTTAGAAAATACCGTACACTGAAAGTGTGACATTTATGAAACTTTAAATGATATTGAAAGCAGCAACTTAGGTTAAGTATTGTTTTATCGGTGCAAGTCCATGTTACCATTCTTAATTTGTAGTCCTGAGTCAAATGTCTGCAGTGAGCTCAACCATCGAGAGTATTATTCAGACTCCATTTCTATCATGAGGTATGCCTGTGTGCATGGTGGTAGTGATCATGAACAGTAATTTTGAATGGTTAGTTTCCTTCCAACCCAGAGGTGCGAAGAGCAATAGTTTTACGAGTACCACAGCACAAACCAGGTGTCTAAACCAGGACCCTCCTGTGTGTCGTGTATAGCTCAGTGTTGCAATGTCGTGAATTTACCAACTGAGCTACCAATAGCAGCTATTGATTAATTTACTTAAATTATAAATTTTTAATTTCAGTTGTTGTTAGAACACTTAACGTATCTCAGCATTTGGAGGCTTTTTATTGCATAGATTGGAGAATGCCAGATTAGGTTTTCTGGTGAGGTAAGTGATGCATCCAACTTGCATTGAACCTCTCCCCATTTTTTTTTATTTCAATTGTTGTTACCAATGAATGTTACAAAATGTTTATATTGTTCTGGATTCACGTCCAGTAAAGAGTTTCTCTTGTGTCTTCCAGCATCCACACTGCAAAGAGGCTACTTGAGAATAAATTGTGCTGAGGTTTGGGAAGGATGGACTTAGAGTTTAATACTTTCTTTTTTCCAGGTAGTATTGGGGTCAGGAATGAATGCCAGGAGGTACAGAATTTCACACTGCTGCTGGCATACTGGTTCCTTGATCCTATCCCGGACAGATTTCTCATGACTGGGTCAGCCTCCGAGTTTGCAAAAAGAATGGGGTCAAGTTAGCTGTCTCTCTTGCTGTCCACGTTCTGTCCAACAGCAAGAGTTTAGCTGTTACCCTCAACTGGGCAGCAGGCTTTCCCTCAGACCATTACTTGGTCACTCCAGAAATAATCACACTGTATGATTGTATTTTGTCACACACAGAAGGATTCTGACCTCCAGTTGAGGCTGATGGCAAGGTTTAGAAGCCCAGAGGCAAAATCTTGCCGTTAATGTATCTCTGCACAAACCTGTGAAATTATCCATATTTCTTGGGACCTTTTCCAAGTTTGAGAAATTATCACAAATTTAATTGGTGTTATTTAAATTTCCTATACAATGCTGTAGTTGGTCAATTTGCCAGCTGTGTATTCCAGACTTTGACACTTGAATTTTTTCATGCTTTTTATGTTTGTTACTACACCTGTGGATTTCTTTATTTGTTGATCTAGTAGTGAATGGTTGTCAGGTTTCAAAATCAAATTTGAGAATGTTTTTGTTTATTTAATGACTTGAATTATGACAACATCTCAGCATTTTTAATACAGCAGTCTGAAATGGGACAAGTTTATTTGCTCTTAACTAGCCCTTTTGAGTATGCAAAAATTACACAGTGTCTAAGTTTTCCAAATGTTTATCTTAAGGACCAGATATTTTCCAATGCTGCTATAACATTTGTGCAGTTAGGTCTGTTGTTTTATGATTTACTTCCCAAGCTAAAGTAAAATTTAGTCAGTAATGGGATTCTGAAATGGTGAACTGAGAATTCGTAAGAACTTTTTTATTCTGGTAGCAGTTTCAATGCTTATATTTTGAATATGCACTGGTAATTTTTTTCTCTGAAGTTAATTTTTTAATTAACTATCACATGTCCAAATTCACAGACTTTAATTGTATTTTAATGGATCCCGTCAGCATCATTTTGTGATTTACATGTTTAATTTGGAAAGCATGTTGACCCAAGTATAAGTATAATTAATCATTTGTAACTTTCCCCAGTGTAGGCGGGTTTTACATTCTCGTGTTTATATTTTTCCTGGAGTTAAGGAGTCACTCAAGATATTTCCAACTTTCTCCTTTCTCTTCAATTGCTACCCCATAATGGGCAGTACTGTGGCTCAGTGGTTAGCACTGCTGCCTTAACAGCATGAGAGACCCGGGTTCAATTCCACCTCCAGGCAATTGTCTGTGTGGCGTTTGCATGTTCTCCCAATGTCTTTGGGTGCTCCGGTTTCCTCCCACAGTCCAAAGATGTGCGGGTTAGGGTGGATTGGCCATGCTAAATTGCCTGTAGTGTCCAGTGATGTGCAGGCTAGGTGGGTTAGCCAAGGGAAGTGCAGGATTACAGGGACAGCGTAAGGCGGTTTGGGTCTGGGTGGGATGTTTTTCGGAGGGTTGGTGTGGATTCGAATAGGCCAAATGGCCTGCTTCCACAAATTCTATTATAATAGTACAGGAAAAATGGTATTCCATAATTGTTAAAGTGATGCACAAAGTTTCTGGTCTTCAAGGGCAATTCTATTAGCTCATAGTGTCAGTGAGGACCCTTTCATAGATATTTCAGGCCAGGTGTTGTACAAAATGTTATACTACAGAACTAGTAAAGCAGAGGCCGATTTGAATAATCTGTTGAAAGCACTTATGTTTCTCCACAGTAGTTTCTCAATTTAAATTTAGTTGAAAAAATACTGATATCAATAAAAATGATTATGAATCTGTGCATTATATTAAAATCCTTATTGTTTCACTTATGCTGTTTTCGTAACGATAACAAGATTCCTTCTCTGTCCAGCCTACGTATGACCCCAGTCTCTCTCATATACGGTAGGGTTTTCTTACACAGTGGTAAAAGATCTTTGAGCCAAAAGACCTGAGATCAAGTCCTACCTTCTCCATGTATGTGTCACAGCACGCCCAAACAGGTTAATTAAAAATAACCACACATGCGTGATTAGTTTTAAACTGCATTCTGCAGTGGCCCAGCAATCAATTTTATAACTGCTTGGGTTCAAGGAAGAGGTCCACTGTCTCCTTCTCAGGGAAACTTGAAATGTGCAATAAGTATTGACTTTGCCAGCCATGGCCATGTTTTAAGAATGAATTCAAAAGCAAGGTTGGGCACATGCTAAACAGCATATGCTGACATTTGAGATGATCATGAGGGTTGATGCCACCAGTGTGCTCATAAAACAGCATTATGTGTAGAAATTTCATATCTGTTTTTAACATATAATTGCAGAACAAATCTGTCTGTTTTGTGTGTATAGATCTCTACCACCTCTCTCCCCATCCTGGACCTCTCTGTCTCCATATCGGGCAACCACCTAGAAACCGATATTCATTTCAAGCCCACCGACTCCCACAGCTACCTAGAATACTCCTCCTCCCACCCACCTTCCTGCAAAAATGCTATCCCCTATTCCCAATTCCTTCGCCTCTGCCGCATCTGCTCCCAGGATGAGGCATTCCACTCCCGTACATCTCAGTTGTCCTTGTTTTTCAAGGACCGTAACTTCCCCCCCTCGGTGGTCGAGAACGCCCTCAACCGTGTCTCCCACATCTCCCGCACCTCATCCCTCACACCCCGACCACACAATAAGAACCAAAAAAGAATCCCCCTCGTCCTCACGTACCACCCCACCAACCTCCGGATCCAACGCGTCATCCTCCGACAATTCCGCCATCTGCAATCTGACCCCACCACCAAAGACTTCTTTCCCTCCCCACCCTTATCTGCTTTCCGGAGGGACAACTCTCTCCGTGACTCCCTTGTCCGCTCCACGCTCCCCTCCAGCTCCACCACATCCGGCACTTTTCCCTGCAACCGCAGGAAGTGCTACACCTGCCCCCATACCTCCTCCCTCACCCCCATCCCATGCCCCAAGAAGACTTTCCACATCAAGCAGATGTTCACCTGCACATCTGCCAATGTGGTATGCTGCATCCGCTGTACCCGGTGTGGCTACCTCTACATCGGGGAAACCAAGCGGAGGCTCGGGGACCGCTTTGCAGAACACCTACGCTCGGTTCGCAATAAACAACTGCACCTCCCAGTCGCGAACCATTTCAACTCCCCCTCCCATTCCTCAGACGACATGTCCATCCTGGGCCTCCTGCAGTGCCACAACGATGCCACCCGAAGGTTGCAGGAACAGCAACTCATATTCCGCTTGGGAACCCTGCAGCCCAATGGTATCAATGTGGATTTCACAAGTTTCAAAATCTCCCCTCCCCCTACCGCATCCCAAAACCAGTCCAGCTCGTCCCTGCCTCCCTAACCTGTTCTTCCTCCCACCTATCCCCTCCTCCCACCTCAAGCCGCACCTCCATCTCCTACCGACCAACCTCATCCCTCCCCCTTGACCTGTCCGTCCTCCCTGGACTGACCTATCCCCTTCCTAACTCCCTACCTACACTCACCTTTACTGGCTCCATCCCCGCCTCTTCGACCTGTTTGTTTCCTCTCCACCTATCCTCTCCTCTATCCCCCTTCTATCCACCTCCCACTCTCTCCCTATTTATTTCAGAACCCCCTTCCCTTCCCCCTTTTCTGATGAAGGGTCTAGGCCCGAAACGTCAGCCTCTCTGCTCCTATGATGCTGCTTGGCCTGCTGTGTTCATCCAGCCCTGCACCTTGTTGTCTCGGATTCTCCAGCATCTGCAATTCCTACTGTCTCTGTTTTGTGTGTATGTTTTGTTTCTGGATGAGAGATTGATTGGAGGGGAGAACTGTTTTGAAATTTTGCCTTCAGACTGTTTTGGTAGTTCAGGGAAATTTTAGTTTGTTGGACTAATCCTACCAATTTCATGTCTGAAATCAGCTTGCTGAGTTCAGACCAACATGGTTTGCACCTTAAGAGTTTTGCCCTTTGGTCAGTACCAAATTATGTGGTGTATACAACAGTGATACATCACGGTAAGCTCTTTATTTTCCACAAACAGCAACACTGAACCTGAATTAAATCATTTATGAAGGGACCAACTAGTTTGTCCTTCAGAATTTATGCAGTTGTACTGTTGAGTGTTAATATTCTTTAATTGTATTTTGCCTTTCTCAATCAGTGTATATTTGCTTGAACCACTAGCCTGTCCTGATTTTAAAAAAATGGATTGGTTAGCTAAGTGGCACTGCACTTCCGAATAGCACTCCTGGCTACTTTCAGTGGAATATTTGTTCTGGTAAAAACCCATATCTGTTTGTAGCAAAGCACAGGGGTATGCAAGAGGTGAATACCAAATCAGTAGGACTATTGAAAAGTTTCACTTTTGCAGTCTAAGTGCAAAAGCTCAGAGTGGACAGCAGTACTTGAAAGAAAATAGATACAATCTACCAGTTAAATAAAAAAGCAAGATACATCTATAATTTAAGTTGGCTTACAGTGCCGAATCTTATATTGGTTCAGTAAAAACAAAGGTCGTAAATTGTAATTGTCCTGATTTTTTTTGAATTTTCATTTTAAAAGACAGTGGGGCAAATATACATTTTGTATGAATTGTTTAATAGTTGTACATTGTTACTACAGTGTACTTAATTCTACATGATTGCTACTTGCGTTTCAATTATTAAAATCATTTTTAAATTTGAGTCAAGTTGGGGCTTAGATCTACGTGCAATGCAGTGTGTGGAAATGCTAAATATAACTTTTCAATATTATGGAATGAAGCAGAAAACAAATATCGCAGTTAAATTTTAGCACGCCAAAGTAGTTTCATAAATTTGTGCCCAAGTACAACTAGCTAATTTTTGTAATGTTATTTGAGGCTTTCGTGGATTTACATTTCTAATTTTCTAATTATTTACATGGATAATAGCAACAGCACTGTGTCTGATTGGCGTGATAAAAATGTTGGCCAGGTGTTTAAATTTGCCCTTTCCAATAAGGCTGAAAGTGATGAGAATTCCAGTATCAGGTAAACATCAGTGGAGAATTACTTGAACCTAAGAGACCTTACTGTGAAAGTAAAGATGGTTTAGATAGTCCATTATGTTTATAGAGCAGACTAGACCACTCGGTCTCAAATTAAATGTTAATTAATTTAGAAGGACTAAAAATTATTTTATTTGTAACTGATCAGCTACCTGTATAAAATGAAAGTATTTGACAAGTTTCAGAATAGACTGTACTGTTTATAATGCATGAACCACAATCAAGAGAATAAAAATCCATACCACTATTTTGCATGCCCGATTTATTTTTTTTTCCTCCTGTTGTTTAGGAACTTGTTTTATTTTTCTATTACGTAGTTTTGTAAAGTGGTATACAGTTCTTAATTGAATCACATGACAGTTTCGATGCATTACACATTTTTCAGCTTTGTTCCTGCAGTTTACAAAATCATCTCATCCTGTTGGTAACGTTTATCTTTTTTTGAAAGTTGATACACAGTGATGCAAAGCACGTTGCTTAAATTTTTTTGGCTGAAAAGTTAAAACCATTCAGAGCCTATTAAAATAAGACAATTTTATCACAGTTTTAATTATGAATTTTAACACCATTGATATTCATGATTGTACGGACTCGTTACTATCACAGGTGTATAGTGATTTTTTTGGACGTTCAGAAAGCTATGGTGTTACGTGTTATAATTTACGATTATAAATTATACATTCAGTACTGCATATATCTTATGTTTTACTCTTACATTGAGGAGCAAAGGCTTTGGAACAAGCACAAGAGGGATTGAACATATGGCAGTAGATGTTGGGGTCAAAAGTAAGGTCCATCGTGTAAACAGTAAGGCAAGGGAACTGTAGTAGTGACTGAAAGGATATTCTAATAATGTTTTCTACTATATCCTATTTGCTGCTTCTACTGTGAAAAACATGGAAGTTTACTTTTTTTTGCTTTATGATCCTCTGGAAAATTAACTAGAAATGACTGGAAGTTTGAATTTACTTTTAAATGTTAATAGCTGAAAAATGTCACAGCAAGATTCCATATTTTTACATGTTACCTGTTACTAAAATCTAAATCTTTCATTGACTAAATACCATCTTTGTAGGCAACTTGCACTTTAAAGCACAGAAAAGAAGAGTCTTATTTTGATTTTTTTTCACAAAAGGAGGCCATTCGACTCACTGTGTCTGCACCAGCTCTCCAACAAGCATTATGACCTAGTGCCAGTCCCCTAACTTTTCCCTGTACCCTTACACCTTGTTTCTATTCAAATAACCATTCCCTTCTTGAATGCCTCAATTGAAT